AGCAGCAGCAGCAGCAGCAGCAGCAGCAGCAGCAGCACCACCACTACCACCACCACCACCACCAACACCAACACCAGCAGCAGCAGCAGCAGCAGCAGCAGCAGCAGCAGCAGCACCACCACTACCACCACAACCACCACCAACACCAACACCAACACCAGCAGCAGCAGCAGCAGCAGCAGCAGCAGCAGCACCACCACTACCACCACAACCACCACCAACACCAACACCAACACCAGCAGCAGCAGCAGCAGCAGCAGCAGCAGCAGCACCACCACCACCACTAGCATCCGCAAACAGCAAGTAGTAGCACCATCAGCAGCAGTAGCAGTAGCAGAACCACCACCACCACCACCACCACCACCACCACCACAAGCAGCAGCAGCAGCAGCAGTAGCAGTAGCACCAGCACCAGTAGCAGCAGCAGCAGCAGTAGCACCAGCACCAGCACCAGTAGCAGCAGCAGTAGCAGCAGCAGCAGTAGCAGTAGCACCAGCACCAGCACCAGCAGCAGCAGCAGCAGCAGCAGCAGCAGTAGCAGTAGCACCAGCACCAGCACCAGCAGCAGCAGCAGCAGCAGCAGTAGCAGCAGCAGCAGCAGTAGCAGCATCAGCAGCAGTAGCAGTTGTAGCAGATAGCGCCGGGGGACACAGCAAGCAGCAGGAAGCAGTAGTACTAGTAGTAGCAGTAGGTGGTGTTTCGCTGATGTCGGTGATAGTGAAGCTCGCATGCAGCAGGAAGACGGCTGACATGTTTTCACTGCCAGACAAATCACTGCAAATATTGTAAACAAATTTGCAGCGCCGCGTCGCTGCCTAGAGAGAGGGGGTGAGCGCGGGAGAGGTGTGTGTGTGTGTGTGTGTGTGTGCGTGCGTGCGTGCGTGCGTGCGTGCGTGCGGTGCGTGCGGTGCGTGCGGTGCGTGCGTGCGTGCTTTTGTGTGGTGCGTATGGTGTGCGTGTGGTGTGTGTGTGCTAGCGCGTGTGTATATCACAGGTCTTGTACGACGCGGGGGCATGGGCGGTACTACCCTACAGCTGTTATTCTAACCAGGCCCCCTCGCCTGCCTGCTGTACAGTGTACGCGCGCGTGTGTGTAGCGTGTGTGTATGTATGTATGTATGTGTGCACACACAGACCCCGGTTGTGATGGCGCTAGACTGCGTACGCTACCGAATTCTCCCCTCTCTCACGCAGCAGGCAGACATGCTACCGGTCGGCATGGTTAATGTTCTTCACCCCCTCCCTCCCTTCCCCTCTCCCCCTCTCCCCCTTTCCTCTCTCCCCCTCTCCCCCTCTCCTTCTCTCCCCCTTTCCCAACACGGTCTGTTCAGCAGCTCTATCTATGTTTCGCTCTCTGGCTCTTCTCTTTAACCTCTCTCTTCTCATCTCTCTTCAACTCTCTTTCTCCTTTCCTCTCGTCTCCTCTTCTCTCTCTCTCTTCTCTCTCATCTCTCTCTCCGGTCTCGTCTTCGTCGTCGTCTCATTCGGGGATTCTGGTATCGGTTCGCGTCTCCGATAGTCTTATCGTCCCGCTCTCTAGCTCGCTCTCATCGCTCTCCTGCCGCATCTCTCTCGGTCTCTCTCTTCCAGCCCGCAGTCTCTCTCCTCCTTCTCTCTTATCATTTCTTGACACTCTCCCCTCCTCTCTCTCGACCGTCTTTAACCTTCTCCTTTCTCCTCTCTCTCACTCTCTCTCACTCTCGCCGTCTGCAGGGGGTCCAACACATCAGTATGAGTCCTCTCCTCTCAGCCGTGCCTCCTTCTTTCTTTCTATCCCCCTTTTTTGTCCTTTTCCTCTCTCTTGCTCCTCTTCTGTCCTCTGTCCTCTTGTCCTCTGTCTCTGTCTCTCCCTCTCTCGCTCTCTTTTCCTTTCTTCTCTCCTGCTCTCCTCTCGTCTTCCTCCTCTTCCTCTCCTCTTCTCTCTCCCTCCTCTCTTCGTTCCTCTCTCTCTCTCCTCTTCTCTATCATCATAATATTCTCTCTCTCTCTATCCTCTGGGCTCCTCCCTTCTCCTCCGGCCGTCGCACATACGCTACAACCTATTCGTTGTAGCTGGGGTCCGGTCTCTCGAATCGCTGGCGAGATCCTGGCCACCACTGCCGCTTCCTCCTGCCGACACCTCTTGGCTTCGCAGGAGGCCGGGGTCCGACCCTCCCACGTGCGCGCTCCTCCGTCGTCCGCGTCCCTTCTCTCCTTCTCCCTCCGTCTCTCTCCTTCTCTCCTCTCCTGTCTCCCTCTCTCTCTCTCTCCTCCCCCCTCCTCTCTCTATCACTATCTATCTTTCCCTCCTCTTCCCTCTCCCTCCTCTCTCTCAGGGCGCACCCTCTCTCGCCTCTTTCTCCCCTCTTCTCTCTCCTCTCTACCCTGTCGTCGCGGTGGATCGATCTCTCATACACACACACCTGATGTGTGCGACGGATGCACACGACACAACACATCGTGTTTAATAGTCAGCGACAAATATGATCTTAGCCGTAAACGCTAATTAGTGCGGTCACTCAGGCGGATGTCGGCTTTTCTAACCGCGGCCGCGTGAGCCACGAAGCGCCAATAACAGCCCCGTAGGCACTGTACGAATGCACCTAACCATGGACTAACACTAACAACACTCACTAAACTAACATAACTAACACTAACCAAAACTAACTAGACACTGACTAACACTAACTAAGAATGTCTATCCCATATACTAATGGTGCAACTAACATTTAACTAATCATCCATTAAGAATGGCAGCAATATGATATTCTTACTAATGGAACTAACACTAAGTAAGAATGCACGAGCATTATAGTACTTATGAAGGAACTAACATACTAAACAACTTAAGATGCAAGCATTATATTTATGAGCACTTATGAAAGGAACTATAACACTACACTATTATCCATCTAAGAATTGGCAAGCATTATATTTATAGGACTTATGAAGGAACTAAACTCACTATTACCATCTAAGAATGGCGGCAAGCATGTATAATTTTAAGTAGCATTTATGAAGGAACTAACACTCACTATTAATCTAAGATGGCAGCATTATATTTATAGCACTTATGACGACTAACACTCACTATTACATCTAAGAATGGCAAGCAATTAAATATTTATAGCACTTATGAACGAACATAACACTTCACAATTCCATCTAAGAATGGCAAGCCTTATATTTATTAGCATTTTATAGGGAACTAACACTTCATATTACATCTAAGAATGCAGCGTATATGGTACTTTAATATGAAGGAACTACACTACCTAACACTAGTAAGAATGACAAGCGTTATAGTATTATGGTGCAACTAACACCAACTCCCATTATCAACTAAGAATGACAGGCATAATATGCGAACTAACACAAAACTATTTAAATAAGAATGGCAAGTATTTTAGAACTGCTATGGAGATTAAACATAACTAAGCTGTGAAAGCAACCGCAGTACGTACTATGGCACTAACACTTCTAATTAAAATATCAAATAAAACATTTTAGTAACCTACATACACTAATTCCACTTAATTAATATCAAACTGA